TCACTATTTCACTTCTCCTGAAACTGACTTTGATTCTCGTGGTATTCTCTTGTCAATCCATTTCCCCCTGATTTTTCACTCCATTACCTCTGCCCTCATCTCATTTTTCTAATTTCGAAATCTTAACCTTTTTTGGAAACTAGTTCAACTTTGTGCTATCCTCTATTCCTGAATACTTCTTCATCTTATTCTGTTAGCCTTCATATCTTATTAAACACCAACCATGGATTGAATTCTCTACTCAAGATCACAGAATGACAGGATTTCAGATTTAGAAGGAACCTCAGCAGACAATCGGTCCCGCCCATACCCAAAAAGGACATTCCTATAAGAACACTCAACAAGTATCTCAAACTCTTTTTGAAGAGGAAGAGGAACACTCCCACCTGCATTCTGCTGAATATCACTAAAGTTATTGACACAGAAGATCCTCCTGCTTTAAGATTCACTCTATCCATCTACGTTATCCTGGGAAGATCCTGTTTGCTGTTACTTTCCAAACCCTTTGTCATTCTTCCACATCTGTCAAGGATTTCAGACCCCTTTCTCACTGTCTTTTTTTTCCTTATTCCAACCCCTCCTCTCATAATTGAATACTTCACTATATAACTTGCTAAACTCTGGTTTCTGAGATCAATCTCATTAAGTCTCATGGTATCTAATCTTCATTCCACCAGAGGCACATTTAGAAATGGTCCTACCTTCAATCTCATCATTCCACAACTCTCAAAGCCTGACTATAAGTTCTGAGGATCATTGATCCTGTTTCCTTGTTTACATAAGAAACTTCTTTATTAAACAACTTTTGTTAAAAAATTAAGTATCTATGTTCATGATATAACCAGATCATCAAGAAAATATTCCCCTTAGTGGGAGCACTTTGTTTTTAACTCTTTTATATGGCCAAAATTTAATGTTAATTAATATATACTATTATTTTAAAACTACTTAAAAGTTCTTTGAATTCTTGTGGGTGCTATTGCTTTTTGGAATGAAGTTTATGTTATCATCTTATTAAAGCACTACAGTAATTTCTAAAATGAAATTATGTTGGAGATTGTTGCAGTAGGATTATTGTTTTGGATAGAACTGGAAGGGACCTCAGAGATCATCTAGTCTAAAAACCTAATTTTAGAGATGAGGAAATTAAGGGCTACCTCTTTGCATGAGATAGAGGTAAAGGAGGAAGTTATAGAAGGCATCTTAGTGGTATGAGATAAAGAAGAGGGCAAAAGAGGGAACTCAGAAAATGGCCTCTTTTTTTCTGTAAAATATGAGGCAAAATTCTCAGCAGAGAGAGTGAAGGAAGAGAGAGCCATCAGAAGCTTGAGAAAGGATGTAAAGGTTTGGAGGACCAAATGTGAAGAGTGGGAGAGTGAGTTGATAAGACAGCTGTCAAAGGATCACCTAGCAGCCTGAAGGCCTAGTCAAAGTTGTATAACATATATTTGGAGTGGACCCAGTTAGCATGGCTGAATGATTTTTCTCTACCTTCATTCAGCAGAACATTTATAGGAGTGAAGGCAGCAAAGCTATAGCTTTGCTGGGCCTGAAGGAAAGGGATTTGAAACCTAGCTAGATCCAGTTCCATCCTTAGATGCTACTCAGAGCAGGGACTGGAAGCTGGTGAACCATAAATCACCTATCATGGGAGATGTCTCAAGCAGATTTGCAGCCAAGCTTTGAGGGTGTATCTTCCATCAAATGAGAATCAGAGTGTGAATGATAGAGAAATACAACGAAAAAGTATGAAACTTCAAATATTTCAAGAAAAAAATCAATAATACTCATTATCACAACAGAGATCTTAAATCACCCAATCTAAGAAAATAAAATTGAATTAGTTATCAATATATAACCAGAAGAAAGGGGAAAATGGTAAAGATGAATATATAGCAGGATTCTATAAAAATTTTAAGGAAAAATTAATGCCTGCACTAAGTAAATTACGCTCTGAATTGAGTAATAAAGCACATTAATAAAATATTTTATAAGGAATATCTAAAGCAAAGAAAGAGAACTACAAGTCAAAATTAACAATGCAAATTAATTAAAAATTTTAAATGAAATTCTGGCTAAAATAATAAAGATACACAATTTGTATACTTTGATCACAAATTGTATAATGTAAGAAGTATTCAACATTAGAAATTCAATTACTGTTACTATGTTAGTTAACAACAACAACAACAAAATTTTAAAAAATTTTGTTCTGTCAGGGGATATAGAAAAAGACCCTAGATGAAGTACAAAACTTATTCATACTAAAATCCTCACAAAGGATGTGTATAGAAATACATTTATGAAATAGTATTTAAAAAAATCTAGTAAAACCATAAGCTAGAATTTTGTGGATTAGAAAAACACCAGACTCTTTCCCAATAAATATGAGCAAAGCAATGGTATTTCCTCCTCCTACTGGTATTTGCCATGGCTCTAAAGGTGCTAGCACTAGCAATAAGACAAAAAAGAAAATGAAAGCGTAAAGATACAAAAAGATGAAATAAAACTATCCCTCTTTGCTGAAGACATGGTTAACTTAGAAAACCCTAGGGAATCAGTAATGAAAGTCATAGAGTTAATAGCTTCAGTAATATAGCAGGATACAAAAATCAAGCCATAAATCAACAGCATTTTATTATAGCATAATGGTAAGGGTTGATCAATTACCACAGCCCAAATAAAATAAGTGATAATACCTTAAATCTTATAAGAACATATTCAGTTTGTCTACCAGGTATAAACATGTCCCCAGCATGAAAGAAATTATGTTTGGATTGGCTGAGGGATTTGGTCATGCCTTCTGAAACACGTATAAAACCACAGTGCTAGTCGGAACTACAGTGTCGGGCTAGTAGACAGCATTCCAGCCAAATCTCTGAGAATGAACTGGTTGGGGGAGAAGACAGAGGAAAGGACTTTGTCTCTGCTTAGGCCTTCCTCAGTCCCTCTTGACTGGAGGTTGTAGTTGCTCAGTCCTTTCAGTGGACCCTTTGGAACCTCTTTCAGGGTTTTCTGGATAAAGACGCTGGAGTGTTTTGGAATTTTCCATCTTCCTATTGTTGTCCTAGGAGCCTCCCTAGAACAGCTGATGACAGTGTCTTGACCCAAAGACAGACTGAATGAAATGAAGACAGTAGATTGAAAAGTCTACAAAGATAATGGAGGTGAGGAGATGGAAGCTATACCATACCTAATGGGAACAATTAAGTACTGAAGCAAAAGAATTTCATCAATCAATGTACTTGCAACATGTGCCCTAAGTGTGAGCCTATTTTCCTGAACTCTGTATGAAATAGTAGAAGAGTATGTTGCAGACTTTTAGAGGGATATTTTATACCAACTGTTATTACTATAACACCTCATTAAACACCACTTTTTAAAAAGCTAACATAGGAAATGTGAGTCCCATGGTGTAGTGAAGCCCACCGATGATATGGAGGCTGTTGTATGACTGAATGGGAGGCCAAACAGACATCTTTCATCTCTTCCCCCCCACACACACCCTTTTCCAAGGAAGACTTCTATTTAAGCCTGAAGAAGCAGCAAGAATTTGGGGCCTGAGGTTACAACTTTCCTCAGAGAAAGGGGTAGGTTCTAGGCTACAGGAATATCCATCTTCTCCTTTAAATATTGCTAGTCTGGGACATATGCTTTGGTTCAAGGTAACTTTTAATTACTTTCTCATTTTGGGGGAGAAGAAGGAACCCAAGCTCTAAATCTAAGATTTGACTGCCACCAAATACCAGTTCCATAATGAATACCCACAGGGAATAAGTAAAGAAACACATTTATCCAAATATTAGAAAAAACAGGGATCAAAGAAGGTATATATAGGAGAATGTATACTAACTAGACTATACAGACTGAAGGTGCCCTCCCATTGGGAGTGAGATAACTCAACCAAGATGGTGTCTTAGAGTTCACCCAAGAGTCTTTAGAATAGCAAGATGGATATAGGGATGTAGAGACTGCCTGCTCCTCTCATGTCTTCCCAAGATCTTTTCCTTCACTAACCTGGAGTGGAGCTGGTCTCTTCCTTGTCTCTTGAAGCTGAAAGCTAATTCAACACTCAAAGAGAACTTAAGAGCTTGACTAGTCCCTAAGTGGGGTGGGGGAAGGACTTTGAGAACTGAGGCTCTTGTCTCTCCCCAACTCCACCCCATCCCACACATAGGGCAGAGCCTTAATTTCTCCCAATAAGGAGAAAGTCCCTTACCAATGGGCTTTGAGACAGGGGTTACATTAATTAAATCTGTTATATTAATTAAATTAAAGTTAGCTAATTGATACCCGATAATCATGGTGGTAGCTCCTCTGGTCAGAGCTGGTGACTTAAAATATTAGAAATTGAGCCCCACTCCTATAGTCCTCTCTTAGTTAGCCCTGGAACCCTGAGGGGTCAGAGCACCTGTTTGATTGTTATCCTGCATCTAATACAATGGACCACTCAGAGCCAGAGGAATTAGTGGGTTTAAAAGCAGGTGTAGGGGTGTGTGTGTGTGTGTGTGTGTGTGTGTGTGTGTTTTGGTTTGGTTTTTTGTAAGGTAATGGGGTTAAGTGATTTGCCTAGGGTCACAGAGCTAGTAAGTGTCATGTGTCTGAGGCCAAATTTGAACTTGGGTCCTCCTGACTCCAAGGTCAGAGCTCTATCCACTGTGCCACCTTGCTGCCCCTAAACGCAGTTCTTTTACTAAAATCGTACTCTAATATTCTCAGGTAAATATGTAATTTTCAAGGCTGTTTAAAATCAGTCCAAATGGTAATAACATATAAAAACAGTCAAGATTTTTTTTTAAGTCAGCAAGGAGGTTCCCTACAGTCTCAAGAGTTACCCAGCAAAGTTTAAAAAATGGCTTTCATATTCATTAGGCATAAAGAACCCACATCTAGGTCACAGATCAGTCTACCTGGGGGCATTTCTGGTCCACAACTTCTTTGCTTCCAAAAATCTTAGCTAGTGTTGAGGGGTTTGGGTGGTGGGGGAGGGGGTTGCTTACTCTCATTTCTGTAGCTCTTGGTTCATAAAAGCAGTTAAATTCTGGAAAGCCAACCCATTAGGAGGAATAGGAATCAGGGGAACAACCCAAAAGCATGAGCTGAAATTCTGATAGCATAATCTGAAAAGAAATTGTAGAAATAAAAGTACTTTAGAAATAAGTACAAAATAAGTAAAACATCTGGTATTTAATCTGAAGATGTGTGTGTGTATACATACATTATATATACATATATATACATACATATATGTGTGTGTGTGTGTTGTGTGTGTGTGTATATATATATGTGTATATATATATGTATATATATATATATATATATATATGTGTGTGTGTGTGTGTGATATATATATATATAATGTACAAAATGTTCCTTTAAAAAAATAACAACTTAAATAACTGGGGAACTTTTCAATGTCCCTAGATGGGCAATACCAGTATTATAAAACTGACAGGGCTATCCAAATTAACTCATTAACTCACAGGTATACTGTTGTACCAATCAAACTGCCAAAGAGGTGTACAAAACATAACATTTGGAGAAACAAAAGTTCCAGAATTTAAGGGTAATTATGAAAAGAACCAGTATTGAAGCAAGAATATTGTAATAATACCATAAAGCAATAATCATCAGAAATATTTAGTACTAGCTGAAAAATAAAAACAGCTCAATAGAATAGGCTAGATAAGGAAGAAACAGACATAATGGAACTCAATGAATTTAAGAACATAAATTACTTGGGGAATAGCTCCCTATGTAACAAGAATTATTGGGAAAACTTTAAACTTCAAAACTTCAGCAGTTTGGCTGAAAAACTGGTTTAGAACAACTTTAGATAATTACATAATATATCATAAGCTCTAAGTCTATATGTAACATGAATGTTAAAAATCTAACCATTAAAAGAGACACACACACACAGAGAAACAGAAATAGAAATAGATTAGGTACCATTCACAGCCATGACTGGGAAAGAATTCTTAACCAAACAAGAAAGAAGATTGTTCATAAATCATATAAGAGTCTATTTCAATTACAGAGAGTTAAAAATCATTTGCAGGAACAAACTTGTTTTTTGTTTTGTTTTGTTTTTTTGGTTAGGCAATCGAGCTTAAGTGACTTGCCCAAGGTCACGCAGCTAGTAAGTGTCAAGTGTCTGAGGTTGGATTTGAACTCTGGTTCTCCTGACTCCAAGGCTGGAGCTCTATCCACTGTGCCACTTAGCTGCTCCTCAATGCAAGTTTTGAAGGGAAACATTTGATTAGGGAAAAAATTGTGGACATCAGATTCCTGATGATATTCAAGACATAGGAAACTAATAGAAATATATGTGGATAAAAGCTATTCAATATTGATAACTAATCAAGGAATATGAACAAATAATACTTAAAATATAAACTGCAAATCATTAGTTCCCCTATGAAAGATTATTCCAAATCACCACTAGTAAAAGTCTAATTAAAATAACTCTGATGTTTCACCTCATATCCCTATTGAAGATGAAAAAGTTTGAAAGAGTGCTTATCTTTCTCCAACTTCTCCAAAACTATTAGATTCCAATCATTCTGGAAAGCAATTTGAAATTGTGATAAGAAAGGGACTAAAATGTCCATACTCTGATAAAAAAAGAACATCCTATATATTACAAAATATCTTCATGCCTATCTATTGGGAAATGGCTAAATTGTTGTACATTAATGCAATGGAATAATAGTAAATTGTTTAAAAAAAGATGAATATGATAAATACAGGGAAGCATTGAGTTATATTTGTGTATACACACACACATATGAAAGTTAGGAGAAAAGAAAAAAAATGTACTGCATTTAATTACAACACCAATGTAAATGTATTAATGGAAAGGACACTAAACCAATATCAACACCAAATTGAAACTGCATGCTCTGAAATCATAATGTCCAAGCTTGACTTCTTAGAAGAGATATGAAAATATAACTCCCTCTCTTTCTTGCAGATGTGAAATGATGCATATAATGTTGCACTTAATTTATGTGTACATTAATTTTGCTCAAATTTCTCCCCTCTTTTATTCTTTCTCTTTTATATTAAGAATAACTCTTTGGAAAGGAGGAGGGGGGATATAATAGGAAATGATGGCAATGTGAAAAGAAGATAGAAATAAAATTTATTTTGTTTTCTCTCTTTTTTTTTTTTTAGATCTGTGGGTTCTTTCAATTTCTATTTTGCCCTCTGGTTCTAAAATATCAGGGAAGTTTTCCTTGATAGTTTCTTGAAAGATTATGTCTAGGTTCTTTTTTTGATCATGGCTTTCAGATAGTCCAATAATTTTTAAATTCTCTCTCCTGCATCTATTTTCCAGGTCAGTTGTTTTTCCAATGAGATATTTCACATTGTTTTCTAATTTTTCATTCTTTTGGATTTGTTTTACAGTGTCTTGATTTCTCATAAAGTCACTGTCTTCCAATTGCTCTATTCCAATTTTTAAGGAAGTATTTTCTTCAGTAATCTTTTAGACTTCCTTTTCCATTTGGCCAATTTTTCTTTTTAGGGCATTTTCCTCATCATTGGCTTTTTGGACCTCTTTTGCCATTTGGGTTAGGCTATTTTTTAAGGTGTTATTTTCTTCAGTATTTTTTTGGGTCTCCTTTAGCAAGCTGTTGACTTGTTTTTCATGATTTTCTTGCATCACTCTCATTTCTCTTCCCAGTTTTTCCTCTACTTCCCTTACTTGCTGCTCATAATCCCTTTTGAGCTCTTCCAAGGCCTGGGACTGATTCATATTTTTCTTGGAGGCTTTGGATGTAGGAGCTTTGACTTTGTTGTCTTCTTCTGGTTGTATATTTTGATCTTCTTTTTCACCAAAGTAAGATAATATAGTCTGACTCTTTTTGTGCTGCTTGCTTATGATCCCAGCCAATTACTTGAGTTTTAAACTCTTTGTTAAGGTAAGAGTCTGCTTCCAATGTGGAGAGTTTACTGACCCAAGCTTCAGGGGGGTTTGTACAGCTGTTTTCAGAGATACTTGTAGGGACCTATAAATTTTCAGTTCTTCCAAGGTGGTATGATAAGGGGCGAGGTGTTTACTCCTTTCCTGGCCTGTGACCACAAGTATTCCTTTCTGTCTCGTAACTGTGAGGAGTTTCTCTCCACAGCCACTACAAGCTCTACCATGCTAGCGCTCCTCCTCACCCCAGCACTGCGGCCCAGAACTGTGACCCAAATCCACATACGGGCAAAGCAAAAGATTCCTGCCTCAGCACTGGCAAAGAGATCCCTGCAGTCCCTCTCTGATCAGCCACTGGATTCCCCCTCAGTCTGTGGACCAGAAGCTTGGCAAGCAGCTGCCCCACCAGGGCCAGGCTCTTAGGGAATGGAGCTGAGACCCCGCCTTCCTCTCTGACCACCGACAGAAACAGACTTTTCCCACTGACCTTCTAAGTTGTCTTTGGCCGTGGTGGATTGAGGAGTCTGGAAACCTCCACAGCTGCCTGCGATTCAGTCCTCTGAGGCCTGCTCCAGGTTCGGTGTAGCCTGAGTGCCCATGCCGCACTGCACTCCCAGCCCGGCGTGATACACCTTTCTGATCAATCATCCAGGTTGTCTTGGGCTGGCAATTTGCTTCACTCCATCTTTTTGTGGGTTCTGCTACTTCAGAATTTGTTTAGAGCCATTTTTTATGAGTATTTGGAGGGGTTTGGGGGAGAGCTCAAGCAAGTCACTGCTTTCACTCTGCCATCTTGGCTCCACCCCCTATAAATAAAATTTAAAAAATGGTATTATACTACATCATGATTCTATGTGTGGCATGGTAGTCATGTCACCTGACCCCAGCTCTTCTTTCTATTTTCTATCTGGACTATCTTGTTCACTTAACCTACCCTCATGTTGGCAGGTAGGAGAATTCCCAGAAGGGGGAAACCTCACTGCTTCAGCTCAGCCTCTCATGATGCATCCATCTGTGTGTCATAATTTCATCAAAAGACATTTGCTTTTTTATTTGTTTTGTTTTCCTGCTTAGATAGTTAAATTGGGCTCATTGAGTCATTATAGATCTCAATTCAGTGTTTTGGGGCTTGAAGCAATCAGTACGAAGTCATCTGTAAAGAGGAGCATCTGGAGGTCATAAATAGGTAGTTCCTCTTTATTGTGTAGAAAAAGGATTGTAGAGGATGTCATCAAAAGAATGTGTGATGGAAGAAAAAGATGTGCTAGCCATGTATGGAAAGCATAACAGAGAGACAGTGCATGATCCATCGACATCAATTCAATGTAAACAACAACCACAACCACCCACCAAATATTGCATTAGATATGGTGAATATAACATGAATTGTGCATGGGTATGGATAGGTTATGATCTGTGTCACTGTGGGGTGCCCAAACTGTTAGATCACTGAGCCAATGAAGTATTGAAATATTAGAATATGACTGTATACTACAGTTGTTTTATCACAGCTGTACTATGCACTTTTTTAAAATCCATTTTTGTAAAAGAAAAATGAGACCCCTTTCATAGTAGAAAGATTGCTAAAATTAAAATCAAAAGACTTGTATTCTTGTTTTCACTTCACCAGCAGTTCCTTATATTTGAATAACTCTTTCCTTCTTTTGTTCTTCCTTTTTTTCTTCCTTCCTTCCTTCCTCTCTTTCTTTCTTTCTTTCTTTCTTTCTTTCTTTCTTTCTTTCTTTCTTTCTTTCTTTCTTTCTTTCTTTCTTTCTTCTGTCTTCTTTGCTTTTCCCTCCCTCCCATCTTTCCTTACCCTTCCTTTTTTACTTACTCTTTCTTTCTTCACCTATTATTTAGTATGTGAAACTCCCTCTACCATTGCAAATCAGCCCTTGTTCTATAACTTATAGATTTTTTATTGGTTTCTTAAAATGTGCTTATTTTTTAAAGCAGAGAATTTTTTCATTCTTTTTTAGTTATAAATTCTCTTTCTCCTACTCCTTCCCTCACCCATTGAGAAGGCAAGAAAAATAAAACCTATAACAAATATGTATAATCATGCAAAATATAATTCTGCATTAGCCATATTTAGGAGAGACAGAAGGAGGAAGGGAAAAAAAGAAAGGAAGAAACAAAGGAAGGAAGGAAGGAAAGAAGGAAGGAAGGAAGGAAGGAAGGAAGGAAGG